CTTATGTCCGAGTGCCTACCCAAAAGTAGTGTTTCAACTTTGAAAAGCACCACCGTAATAGACCACGCAAGCGTCTCGCTTGAATAATGCTATGCATAGTACTTCCCGTTTGAGCAACATGGAGCACAAGGACTTATTCCCTGTTTCACCATACTTTTGTGTTTCAGACAGACTGTAAATGTGAGTGTAGATTCACAATTTCAAATTTGCTATTTCTTGTTTATTTTTGGTAATAAAAAACAAATTTTGTGATTATCAAGTCTGAATGTATTATATAAAATCTCTAATATGACTCGTTGATTTTATAGATATTGATAATTTCTTAAATGAATTACAGACAATGATTTTAAATTGCACCCCGGAAAGCCTGGAGATACCCGAGTAGAAACACACTTTGTCATGTTATCACTGGCTGCCCTGAGTCCCCCAGATTTCACACCAAAGTGACTGATTCAGGCCAGACCTGCGCTTACATAAGACTTGTTGAACTGTACCTTTAGCAGGAGAGCTCTACCCCTTAATTCCCTGTGGTGTTCAAAACAAAATGCTCTTGCTATATAGTAGTGATATGAAGTGCAATATAATTCCTTTGATTCTATCTATAATTTGCTGTTGGACAACAACTTTTGTTGTGCAGCAAATGCCTTTTTCTTCACTTTTGTCTATTTTCTGAATTATTTGATATCTAATTGCACTTATTTAATACTTGAAGCACTTGATGGCTCAGATATCATATGATGGATACTATCTAAATATATATCTCGCATGGCTACCTTTTTCTTTCTTATTTGCTTTATTTCTTTTTTGTTGCCAGTAATTGATACAGTAATATAAACAAAAACCATTATTCCTGTCCTTTGTCAAGGAATAGAGGCTTGTGAAGTTGTTAGGAGTCCTTGTTATGAAAATGCATGTGCAGAAGTTTATTATAAGGCTGCATCCACACCAATGACCTGTTGCTTGGAGACAAATTGGAGACATTGTGGGGGACACTATAGGAGACATTCAGATACAAATTTCCTGATATGCATGGGGACATATTTTACAGTATTGAGAGACATGTCGGCAATAAGAGTTGACTTGGTGAAACTGTCCGAACCATGTTGGTCTGTTGGGTGGTGGGAAGTCTCTGACGACATCACCTTGTCCACACCAGGACTGCCAACATGTCGCCCAAGAAATCTATACCAACATGTTTAATAAGATGTTCCTCAACGACTTAACAACTTGTTACCCTACTTGTCAATCTTAATGTTCCCCCTGTGTTTTATTACTGCTGTGGAAACACCTTATAAGTTGTATAAATGACTGTTAGAAAGTTGTAATGACAGTACATTAAATTCACATGACAAGACAGGCATTGATTTCAAAATATGTAATCATTTTCACAAGTGCATAATAATACAGAAACTAAAATGGTCTGTTACTGTAAAGAATATAGTAGTCAGTACAGTATTTGATACCATATTGTAAATATCTAGATTATTATTGAAAAATTAGGTTGTGGTTAGAAGTTTAAATGTTATTTTATAAATGCAATATGAGAGTGCACTTATTTGTAAAACTTTGATAATGTTATTTACACCACATAGAATGGGAATGTATGATTTTCTTTTCCTTTTTCTTGAAGAATTGCTAAATTATCATTGCTAAATGTGTAAAATAGTGTGTGCAGTGCTGTCATGGAGACCATGCACTACATATTTTAGTCATGTATTTCCATGAAATATTTATCAATAATTCTATAAACAAATACTGTAAAAATAAAAATGATGAGTTTTTTGGCATCTTACAGTTGAATGGAATCTATTTAAGGCTAAGGAACACATACGCTGATAGCAGTCTGGAGTCTAGAGTGCTCACTGAAACAGTTTATTTTTTCTCACATTTGTGTTGTGAAGTATAGTTGCTTTTTTTGTGTGTGTTTACGTGTGTGTATTATCTATTGGGATACCAGTTTTAATGGGGCTTACATCATTGTAAAGAGCAGACACATGATTTTTCAGTATCTATCATTTTCTCTGCAAGTTATAGTTATGAATCGGATTAGGCAGGTATATGTAAAATTATCTATTAAGATTTAGTAATTTTTAAGGAGCTATCATATATGCAGTAAATTTGAGTTTGTTTTCATTGCAGTTTTGTTTTGTCACTATTGTTTATTAGGTTTTTCTCCCTTGTAAAAGGAGAAAATATGAGATTACTTCGGTCACTTAGAAAACAAAGCTTAAGGCGACTTTTTCAGTTTTTAGATTTTTAGATTTCTCTTGCCAATTTTGATGAAACTTTCACCCTTTTATTTAGACCTTTGGGAGATCTCTGAGGACAATTTTTTCAAAATCACCCAAAAAGTTAGTCAAAATAGCAAAAAAAAAAAAAACAAAAAAAACACAAAGTTCCCATGTTTGAAAATTGACCAAGTTTCAAAAACTAGATAAGCTCCAGAAAGAAAATTACACAGGCATTCTGATGTGATCTTTAAACAGAATCATCCTAAATTGATAACTATTGGTAACCCTGATTTTCCAACTACTTTTTAGTATATGTGGCAAATAACAAATTAAGAGGCTGTAAATTAGTTGGTATTTCATTATATGGTTTAATACTTTGTAATAGATCAATAAGCTTTCTTCAACTTTTTTTAATGTTTGGTCAGTCGACATAATATGGGAGGAGATAAGTATTCTGCATTGCCAGACGATTGATGTGACAGGTGCTATTCGCTTGCATTGCTGCTATTATAGAACTACCTAATGACTATTGTCATATTCCATTATGATTAAAAGAAGGAGAATAAGATACTGGTAGTATATTCAAGTTTAATATTTTGTGTTCCCACTTGCCTCTAAATGCAGTTCAAGCATCAAGGCATAGATGCCATTAACTTGGCTGTTAAGGCATGGCCTTCCTCACATCATAGGCATTCCCATGCTTGCATGGCATTATTTATGACTGTACCATGATTACGAGTGTGATCTTGCTGCAAGCATTTTGATATGGCTGCCCATATGTTTTCAGTGGGGTTAAGATCTGGAGATCTGAGTGAATGTGGCAGAGCCATGATATCATGGTGTTCATGAAACTAATCCTGGACAACACTGTGTGAATGGGGCTGTTGTCCTAAATAAGATGGAAAGGCTCGGTTTCAGGAAACACCATAACCCTAACTGTTGGGAGGAAAATCTTTTCAAGAATTTCCACATATCTTCTGTCAGTAAATTGGAATGGCCGACATTCTTCAACTCCCTGACACCACTTACCCAAACAACCCTGCAGTGATTTGGTTACTCCTGCTCAATATAATTTTCTCTGGTTCAAATCTTTTTAAGTAATAACACTGCAAAAATATACATATATCAAAATGTTTTAGTGTTCATTTCTATTGAAACCAACATTTTGCTTCAAAATATTGTGTGAAGGGAAGTTGGAAATAGGAGGGGAGGGGATGGTGTCATTACCTACATAGTGTTTTGTTAATGCCATACATATCTCAAGAATTGGTGCCTTTATAAGAAAAAGTTTTCTTACCACAGAAGACAAATTCAAACCCCAAAATACCAACCCTTCTATAGGGTTCTGTTTGTTATTGAATATTTTGACACTACAAATTTTCTGTGTTGCTGTATATCATTTTTTTTTATTACACTTAAGAAGAAAATGGTATAGGGTCAAGAAATTGACTATTCAGGACTAGTTTTATTTTTCTGTTTTCAATTTTGGAATCAAAATCTGAATGGAATTAATGCAAACAGCAAACTTTCCGTAACAGACTGAGGAGATTGATTTTGGTAGGTCAGAGTTATTTTAACTTAAAATAACTGTGTAAAGTTGAATGGGGGGCAGTTGTAGAAGACTTGGATTAAATGGATTGGTCACCTATATCATACTTTACCTTAGTTATGGGGTTGGTACTATCTGCAGCATTTCCTAGTTATTTATTTTTACAAATTTGTTTGGTCATTCTCTTTGGTATTTAATATGAAAAATTGCCTTTAAACACCTTAATGGTTACCCATTGTATATACAGCAAGAGGTATTGCAAAATCAAGCATGTCATTATTTCAATACAGCAGGAAGTGCCACAGTTATGATAAATAGATTGTACTTCCCATCATGTTTTATAAGTATTTGTATTTCTCTCTCTCTCTCTCTCTCTCTCTCTCTCTCTCTCTCTCTCTCTCTTATTTCTCTCTCTCTCTTATTTCTCTCTCTCTCTTATTTCTCTCTCTCTCATTTCTCTCTCTCTCTCTTATTTCTCTCTCTCTCTCTTATTTCTCTCTCTCTCTCTTATTTCGCTCTCTCTCTCTTATTTCTATTTCGCTCTCTCTCTTATTTCTATTTCGCTCTCTCTCTCATTTCTATTTCGCTCTCTATTTCTCTCTCTCTATTTCTCTCTCTCTCTCT